CATTGTATTGTGTGAACTTATCTGTATGTAATATGGAATTTGAGTTATCAAATAAGATGTGTGGAATGTGAATGAGATGTGATTGTGGATCCTCGTACTGATGACCAGGGGTGAGCACGGCACTAGGATGCTAAAAATGGTAGCGTGACCTTGGCACAGTGTTATGTCAGGGGTGAGCACGACCCTAGGTTGCTAAAAGGGTAGCGTGACCTTGGCACAGTGTTATGTCAGGGGTGAGCACGACCCTAGGCTGTAAAAGGGTAGCGTGACCTTGACATAGTAAGATTTGTGATGATTGTGATTGTGATGTGATTGTGGTTCCTCACACATATGACCAAGGATGAGACGACCCTGGGTAAGTGATGCTACAGGGATGGCGTGCCCCTGGCATAGTGTGGGATGAGTCAGGCAATTAATACGTATCACTTATGTCTAGAGTGGCACGACCTTGAAGTGGCATGACCATTGACATAGTGTTAATTGCAAGATTTGTGATAAGTTGGTGTGATTGTGAAATTGTGATGTGAATATGATGCATGATTGATAGAATTAGAATGTATGGATATGCTTGTAAAGACTTCATTAATTGATGAGTTATGATAAGATTATGTTGTGTTTTTCCTTGTGTTCTTTACATATAGATGTTTTCTTTTCTCACCGTATAATTTGTAGATGTTTTAGGTGAGGAAGATCTGGCTTTGAGTGACATCTAGAATGTCAACTATTAAATTGTGGGTGTGCTCTGGTATTGTGACATCAGGGCAGAGAATTTCTAGGATATGGAATTTTTATATGAATTTGGAGTTGTAGTTATTATTTTTTAAAAAAAAAAGTTGTAAACTCTTATATTTTGTTTTCCAAATTTTATTCATGTTGGACATTGAAGATCATTTGTGAAGGTTTTTATGTGAACCCTTTTACCAATACGTTGAAAAAATTTATTTCTTTAATTTAATTACATTATTACGATATATGTGTTGGGGTAGTAAGGGTGTCACAACATGCAAAAAATTTGATAGACTAAGAGGAGTGAGAAGGGTGGGTAATTTATTTGAGCCATGGTGTTTAGTGTGAAGTTGATTTGTGCCAATGTAGTCATTAGAGAAAGAGAGGTCACATGATGAGAAGCTATAGATACTACAAGAAAAATGTATTTAACAAAGGTTATTTTTTGTCTTACCTAGGGTTTAAACCCCTGTTAAGTGCATTACTCGTGGTTAATCATTCATCTGGGAAATTGATTGTGACAAACTTGTCACTGGCAGTTTATATGAACTTTTAGAAATGTACATCTTACTTGGGGTTTTAAAATCCCCATAACTTACTTTGGGTTACTAACCAATGTTAATACAATACTTATTTCCAACGATTTAAACCCCCAAGACTTATGATTTTGAAACCCCTTAGACTTAAGGTGGGTTTACAAACCCCCATAAGTACCAAATTTTTTTTTTAAATATTAAGGATTTATCATTAATAAAAATATAAAATACAACTTTATCATAACATAAAGAAAACATTCTACATGACATGAAAAAAAAAATTAATTAAAGCTAAAAGCAAGTTTATTACCTACCAAAATGTTTATATTTCCTTGACTTTTTTTTTCTTATACATGATTTCATCTACATCAACATTAAATGTCTCAAAATTTAATATTTATAATAAAATTTATTAATTTTATATTATATAATATATTAAATTTATTTAAATATTCAAAATATTATAACAAACTCTTCAAACCTAAAAAATAATTAGTGTCTCAATGATTAATTTACTAATTGAATAGTAATAGTAATAACATAAATAAAAAAAGACCCTTTAAAAGTCAATAACTAATTATTCCAATGGAAACAAATTTATTAAGACTGATTTAATGGTCACATTTGTTTTAAGAGTCCCAACATTTGACCTATAAGCATGCAAATAATTATTTATCCTATAAATGCAACATCGTAGCAAAAACCATCAAAAGCACATGTGAAATCAAAAAATTCATAATCTATTACAATTCCAACATAATGTAGGACCAAGAAAGTTGCAAAGTCATACATAACCTATAAAAAATGATAATTATAACTCTAAAAATTATAACTTAAGAGACATGTAGCAAAGAGGCTCCACTACACAATAGAAAAACTTCTGAGGTCCTTGCTCACCACCTTTTATGTCAATAAACTTCATAATAAAATAACCTGAAAAAAAATAGGAAAAAAAACATATTTATTCAAAAATATATCATTACTTGTGAAATTGACAACTAAACGATAATACCATTATTAATCTATAAATATTTAAAATGAAAATATTTAAATAATTTGTTTTTGTGAACCTTTTGCAACAATTTTTTCATAAGCTATTAATTACAAAACAATGTAACTAAAAATTGTTATATCACATCACCACTAAATTAAAAAGCTCCATAACTATTATGTTAGCACATGCTGGCAACTGACTCCAGTTTGTTTCACCATATCACTTCCTTACAATACTTTACTATATATTTATTTTGAAAAGAAAGTAACCTCTTTTTGACAATAAATGTTATTGTTTAAGCCATTTTTTGTTCAGCATTACAATTATGCACCTATTTTCTTATATATCTCTCTATCAACAACAAATCATTGTTTATGTAGGGAATGCTTAATGAAGACCAGTGACTGCTACTAATTTGATGCCTTTTAAAAACATCCATAATAATTTATACACAGTTGTCATTTCATAGAAAAAAGAATCCAAGATCTCCATCAAATCTCCAACTAACCAATAATGCAAAAGTTGGTGGCAGTAGCATATTTGATGTTTTCAACAACAAAGTAATTGATGAATAAACACTTTTAAAATTGGATATGTACATTATGACAGGTTGTTCATGTTAACTCAATTGTAATTAGTTCATACATTATTCTAGTCAGTAACACAATCACATTCCTCTTTTTTTATGTCATCACATCTCATTTCCATCTTCGGTTGATTTAGTGTAAACATATGTTTTCCCATGAAAGGGTCATTCTGTGTGTAATTGTTACTACCATATCAATGATCTCTCACCATGTAAGTTTTCTCCAATGTCAAAAGGAATATTAAGGATAACTTAATCTCAAATCTTGTAGCAGAAAATAAGGAACTTGACCACTTAAAGTAATGTGTCACAATAGCTAATTTTCTATTCCAAAATTTATCATCACATCTTAATTTGGCCAAGCCCAAAAAAGTTACAAGAATAAGAAAATAAGGAATCCAAAACTCACATCAATGATCTTCACCAAAATTGACTTCCATAACATATTCACCCATGGGAACTGAGATGTAGTCACTATAATAAAAACACACCCAAAATAATTAACCAAATGCATCATCTATATGTCCTGCTACTCCTTAAATGATGCATATTGAGAAAACATGATAACACAAATTCAAATCAAATCAAGTGAATTGCAATGCATCATTTTGTTGATCCAATAGATCAAACCAAAATGCAAAACATAAACATGCACATACAATTGATAATGCCTTAAACAACTAATCCTTCACTCACATTTGTTACATAAAAAAAAGCTTATGATGAAAAAAAAGATAAAGAACAACATTGGGATCCAAACATAATAAACAAAACTATAACAACACTTAGAGTCGATTTTTACTCTACCAAGAAAACTTTGTTTGCCAATTATTTTGAATGAAAAACTATTCCACGACGATTAGGTCTACGAGGCAAAGTAAAACTCTTAATTGAACATGCTATGCAGCAAAAGATGCATGTCTATTTGTGTTAGGGTTCAAAGAGACAAAGGAAAATAGAAAGGGGAAGATGTATGCCTTATGTGTGTTATTAGAGCTTGAAGAGGAAAAATGTTGGGGGAGTGTGAGATGTGTGACAGGGTTTGAAGATGAGGGAAGGAAAAATAATTAGGGATAAAAAAGAGAAAAAATAAGCATAATGTCTAATTATTTGAAAGTTATTAAATAAAAATATAATAATCAAAATAATGTTAACAAGGGTTTCTCAAACATTAGACAATTTCCTGGGGTTTAAAAACAAACCTGTACTATCCGTACTGCTATGCCGAGCTCGAGCTCGGCATCACAGCGTGGAATGACCTCGGACACACACTCGGAGATCTCGGCCTAGGCGAGATCCGCAATCTAATCAGATCATAACTGATCTCGGAGATCTCGCTCCAGATGAGATCCGCAAACTAATCAGATCATAACCGATCTCTAGGGATCTCGCTCCAGATGAGATCCGTTATCTAATCATATCATATCTTATCTTAGGCCCAAGACCCAACGCAACCCTAATTCACAACAAGGTACGTGCATTACTTATATGAGACTTATACTCATACAAACCCTAACTTTAGCATCGGAGTCTCTTTTGCAGGTATCACCCCATCTTGGAGCATCAACGTACCAGTGAAGGAGACTCATCGACCTTACTCGGGAGATCACCTCTACGATAGATTTCTGGTAAGAACATTTGGCGCCCACCGTGGGGCCGATCAAGACAGCTCTTATCAGCCACCTGTATGGTTTTCACTAGAAGCCACAACAGACGCGTAACAGACGACCTGGATCACTCAACTACCATGGATAGCGACCTAGCGATGTTGAGGAGGTTGATCAACCAGGTCGAATAGATGCGGCAACAACACGCGGCCGACCTACAAAGCATGCGTGCCAAGCACGAAACTGATCTAGCGGCAATGCGCACCGCTAATGAAGCCGACCTAGAGGCACTACGCATCGAGAACGAGCGCATTCGCGCCCAACTCCCTCGGCGTCCCTCAGATCAACCCCCTCTACAGAGTAACCTGAATGAGGACGAGGGGCATTCGGTTTCTCAACCCTGAACTACGACCAGAGTACCGACTCCACGACCTGCCACGCATCGGTCTCATGCACTAACGCACAAGTCAACTCAAGATGTCAGCAGGGCCCCCACTCATGTCACAGAGGATCAAGAAACTTTCCGCCGTCATCTTTTTGTGGATGGCATCATGGAGACTCCACTCCCCCGCGGATGGAAGCCTCTCCACCTAGATCGCTATGATGGCATGACGGACCCCGATGAACACATTGACCTGTATACGACCCAGGTAAACCTCTACACTAACAATGATGTTATTCTGTGTAGGGTTTTTCCGACCTCGCTCAAAGGGGCTGCACTCAACTGGTATACCCAACTACCTGCCGAGTCAATTGACAGCTTTGGCACTTTGGTCAGACGATTCACGGCGCAGTATGCAACGAGTCGACCTCACCACGTAACATCGGCTGCTCTGGCCAGCCTCAGACAGGGCGACGACGAACCACTACGGGCGGTCATGGAACGTTTTGCTGGCATCTTGGTGAAGATTCGCAACTTGAATCCCGAGGTCGCCCTACACACCATGCTTATGGCACTCAAGCCAGGACCGTTCGTCGACAACCTCTGCCAAGAAGCCCCTCGCGACATGGATGAGCTCCGTGCCCATGCTGCCGGCTACATCCAGATGGAGGAGCATGCCGAGTTCCGCAAGGCAATTCGCGAAAACCACAAGAAAAGCAAGACCAAGGTCAGGCCACGAACATTTAAAGTTGGCGACCTTGTTTGGCGATTATGGGGAGAAGCAAGAACAGACCCCTCCAAAGGAAAATCTGGAACTTGGAATTCCACCCACCTCATTTTATTTCTCTTAACTTGTAAATTCAGGTGATGTACTCTTTTTCCTCCTCAACCTTTTTTACCACTAAAGAAAAGTGTTTTTGGCCAAGGAAGGTTTTAACGAGCCACACCTCATAAATAAATCAATAAAGCAACTCCATTCCCATACATTTTCGGTATTGGCACATTAACCATGCATGACGACATGCCAAGGTCGAGTTCGAACCTTGATATGCCAAGGTCGAGTCCGAACCTTGAGATCACATTTTCTTAACCAAGGTCAAGTTCGAACCTTGATATGCCAAGGTCGAGTCCGAACCTTGAGATCACATTTTCTTAACCAAGGTCGAGTTCGAACCTTGATATGCCAAGGTCGAGTCCGAACCTTGAGATCACATTTTCTTAACCAAGGTCGAGTTCGAACCTTGATATGCCAAGGTCGAGTCCGAACCTTGAGATCACATTTTCTTAACCAAGGTCGAGTTCGAACCTTGATATGCCAAGGTCGAGTCCGAACCTTGAGATCACATTTTCTTAACCAAGGTCGAGTTCGAACCTTGATATGCCAAGGTCGAGTCCGAACCTTGAGATCACATTTTCTTAACCAAGGTCGAGTTCGAACCTTGATATGCCAAGGTCGAGTCCGAACCTTGAGATCACATTTTCTTAACCAAGGTCGAGTTCGAACCTTGATATGCCAAGGTCGAGTCCGAACCTTGAGATCACATTTTCTTAACCAAGGTCGAGTTCGAACCTTGATATGCCAAGGTCGAGTCCGAACCTTGAGATCACATTTTCTTAACCAAGGTCGAGTTCGAACCTTGATATGCCAAGGTCGAGTCCGAACCTTGAGATCACATTTTCTTAACCAAGGTCGAGTTCGAACCTTGATATGCCAAGGTCGAGTCCGAACCTTGAGATCACATTTTCTTAACCAAGGTCGAGTTCGAACCTTGATATGCCAAGGTCGAGTTCGAACCTTGAGACTACATTTTCTTAACCAAGGTCGAGTTCGAACCTTGATATGCCAAGGTCGAGTCCGAACCTTGAGATCACATTTTCTTAACCAAGGTCGAGTTCGAACCTTGATATGCCAAGGTCGAGTTCGAACCTTGATATGCCAAGGTCGGTCCAAACCTTGAGATCACATTTTCTTAACCAAGGTTGAGTCTGAACCTTGATATGCCAAGGTTGAGCTTGACCCTTATAGATCACATCTACTTAACAAGGTCGAATTTGAACCTTTAAACAAAACATTTGGGAGCTCCTCAGAAGCTCCTTCGCTCTTACATCACTCGGTGCTTGGGGGGCAAGTGTATTGGCCAACCGAGCTGCCGACTTGTCCCTCACCAATCTATTGACTCGGTCAAAGGTTTACCAGGCTAACCAAGCAGTAAACTCATTATTGCCAAGCTCCTCAACTCGACCATGAAACATGGACATCGAAACACCTCATCGGCCCAAAGAGGCCACGTCATCAAACAAATAAAAATACAATCTTGTCACTGTGCCGCCCACGCGTTTTGGGGACGAGGTGACGATTATATGACACTTGGCATCTCGATAGGCAGATCTACGCGAAGGGCCACAACCATTCGACGAGCTCGGACTTAACTCCTCGACCTATGGCCTTTGGAGCTCGGGGGGCTAGTGTACTATCCGTACTGCCATGCCGAGCTCGAGCTCGGCATCACAGCGTGGAATGACCTCGGACACGCACTCGGAGATCTCAGCCTAGGCGAGATCTGCAATCTAATCAGATCATAACTGATCTCGGAGATCTCGCTCCAGATGAGATCCACAATCTAATCATATCATAACCGATCTCTAGGGATCTCGTTCCAGATGAGATCCGTTATCTAATCATATCATATCTTATCTTAGGCCCAAGGCCCAACGCAACCCTAATTCACAACAAGGTACGTGCATTACTTATACGAGACTTATACTCATACAAACCCTAACTTTAGCATCGGAGTCTCTTTTGCTGGTATCACCCCCATCTTGGAGCATCAACGTACCAGTGAAGGAGACTCATCGACCTTAGTCGGGAGATCACCTCTACGGCAGATTTCCGGTAAGAACAAAACCCATGAAATTTAATTAAGGTTATTAAAATATCTATTAGTTGCATATGTTTCTAGGATTGTAATAACCCCAATTAAATAACCTGTGTTAAATACCAAATTTCTTATAGTGAGAGTCAAGTAGTTAGGGATCAAACTAATTCTCATATTGAGCAATATTGGCTTGATGGCGAGAATGGTTAGTAAGAAAGCCATGTAGGTGATAGCTCATCTTGGTAGTATGACCTTTGCAATTTGTGACACCATTTACCCCGCATCATATATTCAACATAAAAAGGACATAATTCTATTTAAAATAAATAAATTCAAAAATACTTCAATTAAAATAAGACATTCTCTTCCGAATCATGAGTAGAAAGTTCACATTATAGAAATCCTTTCATAGAACATAAAATTGCTTAAACATAAATCCTTAGGCAAAAATAAATAACATAATGAATTCCATCAAAACACTAACAAAAATTCCCTAATGCTAAACCCCGGTGTCACATAGTCTAATTAGAGCTTCCCGACTAGACTTCTCCATCAAAACCTGCAGCATCCTACTAGGGCTCACCTGCACATCACAATAAAATAGGAAACACAGACAACAAAGGGAGTGAGAAATGTCTCACTCAGGGTCAATGTGCAGGAACAAATGCTAAATAGCCTACACACACATTACATGCAACATACATAGCATATCCAAAGCAGTCATAATCACCCTCATGTCTCGATGTCATGCATACTACTCACTACATGCATGTGGTGCCATACAAAATTCACATATTTCTTGTCACTAGTATGCTAATACAACAACACACCTAGGGCACATGTAATCATAAATATATCACTGGTGGCAATACAAAAAAAATCATGTTTTAACGACTATCGAAATCAGTCGCTATTTAGTTTATTTCGGTCACCATTACGCTTAGCGACCAAATTAGAGACTCGCAAAATTCCGTCGTTAAAGCCTTGGTTGTTATTACTAATAGCAACCGAAATTGTTTTCATCACAAGTTAGCAACCGAATATAGGCGTCGCTAGAACTACAAAATCAATTGTTGTAGTATTGGTTGCCTAGCTTTTAGAGACCAATCTTGCGACCGAATTTTGTGGTTGCAATTTCAGTTGCTAACAAATATTTTATGTTTTTTAAAAAAATCATTTAAATTCGGTCTCTAATTTGGTCGCAAAATACAATTGGTATTTCGGTTGCTAAATAAAACATATATTTTAATAATTTTTTCATTGTCATATAATTTTGGTCGTTAAATCAGTCGCAAAACAACTTAAAATGGCTACAAAATTATTTGGTCGTTATTGTGGCTGCTAATTTTAGCCATTATTTTTATTTTTTTTTAAATTATAAATTTAAACCTGTTAATAAATATAAAATTAACAATATATTGATTACACAATTTATAATAATGAACTAGAACATTCTAAAAGACTTACATGATCTCATCAATGTAAACTTATATTGTATAGTGGAAACTAAATAAAATACAACTAGATCAATATGATATGCTAAAAACACAATAACTTCTTTCATAGTCTTAAAAGTTTTACATTTGCATTTGACACAAGGACATCTCATGACATTGCTTTGGCTATGAAATTTCTTCTTACTAGTAACAAACTTTGGGAACTCAACCACTCCGTTTACAAACTCAACCTTCAGACATTTAGTAGCATCCAATCTATCATACATCCACCTTTGATTCTTGGGAATCTCGATTGATGCAAACTATCTACAACTTATCATAGGCTGAAACTTAATAATAAAGTAAAAATAATGAGTTTAGACCCTATGTACTTGAAATTCAACTATGCAAAGCAAATAAAATCTCCATTAACTACTAAAATTGGCAAAACTAAAATATAATCTTTAAATAATATAAAGGAAATTTTTTTCTCTTCAAAACTTTTCTCTGACAATTCCCTCCAACAATTATTTATAGATAAATTATGATAAATGTTATTATAAGAAAAAATAAAGATATAAAAAATAATTTTAATAAAAATGTATATATATATATATATAAATAATTAATAAAAATGTTTTAAATTTCATATTAATAATATTAATAACATTTATAATTATTAGTAATCATATTAAAACGAAAATATAATAGAATTAACTATTATGGCAGTTAAAATGGAAATTTAATCCTCAAATCGAATTTTAATATGTTGATATATTTACATAAAATCTAGTACCTTGATTGTTAATATAATTGTCCTTAATTTTACATATAATAATTATTATAATATTTTTATCTATTTTTTTCTTTTTATTTTGCAGAAATAAAGTTCAGTCAAGTAATGTTATATTCATTATATTTGAACATTGAAGGGGTTTTTAGTTTTTATATTTATACATGCTATACAACCAGTAACCAATATTATTCATTATAATGTTTAATACATTGAATCTTGGAATTAGTTAGTATTACCAGTATTTTGGAATTTTGGGATTAGTTAATATTACCAGTATTTTAAAATTTTAAAATAAATAATTGATAAATTTAGTAAAAATAACGTATTTAAGTTGTTCACTATGAACTAAAAAGGCATTTCTTTCATAGTGATGTAAATAGGAAATGGAAATAAAATATTTTTTTTAAGTAAATAACTAGTAATTAGTACATATCCTAAAAATTATGCACTTATTTATCCATTTTTAGAATCATTTTCTAATTTTTTAATTTCCTAAAATTAAGGAAACATTACTTATTCGTATGGGATTTATTTTAAATGGTAAATCAAACATAGTCTAAGAAATTACTAATTTTCTATGACTAATTACAAGTACAAACAACAAAGGTTATCCATGATA